CCATCACAACAGTAGGAGCTGTGTCTTGGAGCTGACCCCTGGACACTAGAACCACACACAAGTCACTAGCCATCCCTGCACCCGGGTTGGTGCTGGAATGCTCCACTGGTTTAAGTACCACCAGAGGGAGCTCATCCTAGCAGCCCCCTGCATCACCAGCTCCCAACTCCAGGGCTAAGGTATATACATTAGACTGCCAAGTCTAAATCACAGGCTCTCCACCAGTAATTACATGTTGAGAGGGAGAAAGAGTACATGGCCTCCTAGACTTCATCGTTGAGACATGGGTTCCACTTGCCACCAAATCTCAAGCAGTGGAGTTGTAGTAGGAGGGCAAAGCTACAAAAAATGAGCATGTCAATCACAGTAACTCAGATATGGCTGTCTTTTTGTTACAAGTCCAGCTGGCTTGCTCAGGAAGAAGAATGTAGCTACTCACTTAGACGTAACCATGGATAGGGAGGACATCTTGGTTTACCAAGACAAGATAGTGTCTCAATCAAAACTGTACAGGGATTTCTTTCACATGTACCATGAAACACACATACAAATAAGATCATTCACAGCATGCATTTACGGCATGTCTGTCTTTCTGGGATAATGCATACAATTTTAGGGCATGTGTTTTGTCTCCTTTGTTTTTATTTCCTTAGTTCCTGAAGATGGTCCAAAAACACATCTTAACAGAACTCGTAGACCTGGGATTTTTCTGTAACATCAGATGACATAAATTCCCCCATGCTTTGGAGAATATCATGATTCAGATACCAGAAAAGCCATATTGACACATCACAAAATTGTTATGATCTATAATTTTCTTAGAGTTATGTTTTCTGAACACTCTTTCAGAGATCACTGGCTTCTGAAGTCGGGGTAGGTGGAATGAGAAAATTGCTTGAAGACTGAAGAGTGGAAGCAGGAAAGGGAAGGCAGATGGGGGAGGTGCATCAAAGGGGGAACAGAGTAGGAAAACAACAGGATATGGAAGATTCCGACGACCTAGAAGATTATTAGTGAATGGACGAAGGGACTTCCAGTGTTGCTGTAATAGTAGCAAGGAAGAAAAGGTGAACTTTTTACAAAGCTTTTATTTTATATGTGTGTGTGCTACATGTGTGTGTGCTACATGTGTACAGCCCCATGGAGTCTAGAGGGGGCATCAGATTCCCTGGAATTATAGATGGGCTGTTAGGAACTGAACCCAGGTCCTCTGCAAGAGCAGCCAATGCTCTTAACCATTAAGCCATTTCTCTAGCCCCAGAGGTAAAATTTTATGCGTGCACTATATTCTGAGCTGTAACTAAGAACCAGGTACATTGGTACCATTTCACAAGTGTGTACATTAAACATCCCTGGCAACAATTTCATAAAACAGACACTACTCTATCTAGTTTATAGATCAAGAAAATGAGGCTCCAAGAGTTTATATAATATAATTGAGTTACATCTCCATCACGCACATAGTAAGCGTCAGTGTCATGTTTTAATGATTCTTATTACTCCAAATCCCCCAAGTTTTCAACACCCATTTCTCCCCTAACAACACTGATCTTGGTGAAAGGCTAGCTCCTCAAGGTCACCAGAAGCTATGTCTCCAGGGTCTCACCAGAAGCTGTGTCTCCAGGGTCTCACCAGAAGCTGTGTCTCCAGGGTCTCACCAGAAGCTATGTCTCCAGGGTCTCACCAGAAGCTGTGTCTCCAGGGTCTCACCAGAAGCTATGTCTCCAGGGTCTCGCCAGAAGCTGTGTCTCCAGGGTCTCACCAGAAGCTATGTCTCCAGGGTCTCACCAGAAGCTGTGTCTCCAGGGTCTCACCAGAAGCTATGTCTCCAGGGTCTCACCAGAAGCTGTGTCTCCAGGGTCTCACCAGAAGCTGTGTCTCCAGGGTCTCACCAGAAGCTGTGTCTCCAGGGTCTCACCAGAAGCTATGTCTCCAGGGTCTCACCAGAAGCTATGTCTCCAGGGTCTCACCAGAAGCTGTGTCTCCAGGGTCTCGGGTGCTACCTTGCCAACATCCAAAGGGGGCCCCTGTAAGTAAACTTTCCTAGGTATTTGTACATGGGAGGAGGAGGAGGAGGAGGAGGAAGAAGAAGAAGAAGAAGAAGAAGAAGAAGAAGAAGAAGGAGAAGAAGAAGAAGAAGAAGAAGAAGAAGAGGAAGAAGAAGAGGAAGAGGAAGAGCATTGATTGCCGTATCAGCCAACTATCTACTTCTTCACTGCCATAGGAGGCAACAGAAGAGTTTTATATCATTTTAAATAGAGGGTGAAATTATTAATCCACTTTAATTCAAAGAAAAGGGAAAAAGAAGAGTAATACACAAATGGCAAAAACTCTGAGACACACTGGCCTGTGTTCTCTCAGCCGTATCTGAGTGCCTCTTTCTCTTGTGTCGTGTTAGCAAACTTACGTTGACAATGAGCTAAAACCCTAACATTGATAGCATTTACTACTGCCCAAATGGGAAGGCAGGAGGTCCTAGCCCAAAGCAAACAACTTGGATAATCACTAACCATCTGTAATGGGGTGAGTGGTCTCACCCCAAAATATATGTACAGTTAGAACCTATGAATGTGTGTTTGGGAGACATCCGAAGGTCTAATTAAGACTCTCAAATGCTGTCTGGCTAGACTGGGATGGAACTTAGAGCTAATAAAACTGTCCTCAGAAGATAAGAAACACACAGAGAAGATGAAGAAGATGAAGATAGGTGGCAAATGGGCTGATCCATCTGCCTACAAGCTGAGAACCACAAGGGTAGCCAGAGTCTATGGAAAAGGCATGCAGCAATTTCTCCCAGAGCTTCCAAAAGCGCCCCAGTGACAATTTGATGTCTCCTGTTTAAAGATGTCATGAGAAAAGAAGCCAGCTAGGCCCAGGCACCAACCAGCCTTCCTCCCTCCCTCCCTCCCCCCCCTCTGAAACTTACAGTCTGCAGGATTCTCAATGGAGACCCTGAACTAGAACCACATGGAGTGTGGAAACAGACTATGGGTCTGTCTAGAGATCTTAGACGCAGAGATGTTTGAGGACAACTGTCCCGAAGGCTGACAAGCTTAAATATCCTCTCTGAATCCTCAGCGTTTCCCAAGTGACGTGTAAGAAAAGAAAAGTCAACTGGCTCCTGACATGATTTTAGGAGGCACAGAGAACTTCTTTTTCAGTGGCAAAACATCCCTGCATATCACAACCCAATGCAATGGACATTATTGCTCAGAGAGAATAAGTGAAAATGCACATTAGAATTTACTAAGCAGTGGGCAGGAGGCTGTTCTGGTCTGCCTCTCCATTGCTCTGACAGACATCATGACCCAAGGCAACTTGGGGAGAAAAGGTTTTGTCTGACTTACGGGTTACAGTCTACCATGAAGGGATGTAGGGTAGGAACCCCAGCAAGAACCTGGAGGAACACTGGCTGTTGGCTGGTTCAGTGTGTCCTCTTACACATCCCAGGGTCACCTACTCAGGGACGGCACCGTCCACGGTGGGCTAGGTCCTTTCACATTGTCAAGAAAACGTCCCCCGCAGACTTGCACATAGGCAGATCTGGCGGTCTCATTTCCTCAGTTGGGGTTCCCTCTCCTTCCGGGACTCGAGTTTATGTCAAGATGACAAAGAAACCAACCAGCACACAGGGAGGTGTCGTGTCACAGCTCACAGACGTGGCAGAAGAACAAGCGGGTGAGGTTTGCCAGCCACGCAGGTTGCACACACCAGTAATGCCAGCACTTGGGACGCTGAGGAAGAATGTCGTTTTGAGGTTGGCCTGGGCTACACAGGGTGTTCCAGACCAGCCATGGGTTACATAGTGAGACCTTTTCTCAAAAGCGGGAGAGCTTTGGAGGACAACTGTTGGGAGAGAAGCTTCCTTGAACTTGCCTTCTTGACAACACAGCTCATTAAGCCCTCCTGTGTTTTTAATTATTTATTTTAAATGAGATAGAGTCTTAGATAGACAAGATCGCCCTAATTCTGCCTAGGTAGTTAACAGATGGCCTTGAACTTCTGATCCTCTGCCTCTGCCTTTGAAGTGCTGGGAGTAAAAGAATGTACCACCATGCTGAATTTATGTGGCGCTAGGAATGGAATCCAGAATCTTCTCTGTCCAGGCAAGCACTCTACCAACTGAGCTACATATACCCACTCCTGCATTTTAAATGAGGCACGTGCAGACCCACATAGAAAAGTCTCAAGTACCCTGGACAAGGAGCAGAGACACAGCACAGTCTGTACTCACAACGGTGCCCCAGAGTTTAGCTCCTGGCCTGTCTCTACCTGGAAAACCAACGAACATGGTCCAGACGCTGGACGCTGGTGAACAACGGTAAGCACATAGTCATAGAGACTCCGGCATCTCGATGCTCTGTTGATTTTGATTTTCAGCCAAAGAAAAATGGGTCTCAGGGTAGAAATTCATCAATTAAAAAGTAACCAACACTTCCCAGGACCACATAAGCCAGGAAGTCAACTGGATCACTGAATGTCTGGAAAAGGAACCGATCTCTAAAGAAGGCCAGGTGTGGAAGGCTCCCGTTTCAGAATTTCTCTATGACTGTGACAGTTGTCTGTGTTTTACGATTGTCTGTGACTAGCAGTCATAGGAACCGTGGTCCTATTCAGTAATTCGATGATTTCTCAGAGGACTAAGAAGGCATTAAGGAGAAAGGCTGACGAGGGCCTGGGGTGGGGGAGGTAGTGAGTATAAGGTGAAATTCATCACAGGAGGAGGCTATGTCCCCGGGCTCGCCTTTGGGAATGGGCTCTACACAGGACTCATAAGACATAAGAGGAGAAACTTTGGAAGGAAGTAGGTGCTTTCCCCTGCGCCTAAAAGAAAACTCAGCCCCATCACATAACCCCAGAAAAGTTCACCGCACCACACCTGCCTTCCCCAGATGGGGCTCCCCGCGCAAACGCCTCCGCATCCTCCAACCGCGGTGTAAGCTCCTCCCTCGGCAAAGCCTGGTGCTGTCCTAGACCCCCCCTGCCCCTCCCCCGCTGCCAGGCGGCTGGGAGTGGGCCCGGCTCTCAGTCATTGGTCGCGCGGCCCCGGAGGGCGGAGGGATGCCGCAGAGCGGTGCACAGCCAGCCGGGTGCCCACTCCCACTGCGCCCGTCGCCCGTGCACTCTGATCGCGCTCCGCGTCCCCGCGCGGTGCATTCCCTGGGACCGCCGTGTGGGCGCGCATCGCCAAGACAGGGCCGCCGCCCCACCCCAACGCCAGAGTCCAGATTCGCATGTCAGTGAGCCCCGGGCACAGCAGTGGAGAACTGAGACGTAAGGGCGAGGAGCGATGGCAGTGGGCTTTTCCCCAGAGGGGGCCACCGGACGCCCCGCCTAGGTCGCCAGTGGGATCCCTTAGCTGCGGGATTCTTTTATCCCCGACTCTCCTGGGACTACTTGAGGTTTGGCTCCTTGCTGTGGAACACCTCCAAATCTTTCCTTTTCGTAGCTGGACGCATTCATAGGGTCCTGAACAGGCCCTGGAGCCCAGCTCTCAGGGTCTTAGGGACACTCAGCCAGCTACAGCTGGATCCACCTGGGGCCCGGAAGGCAATGTCCTTGGCCCCAGGGTGACCTGCCAGATTTCCTGCACAAGGAGTCTGGAAAGTCTGCCCTCCAGGCTACCGCTGCAAAGGTTAATTCCCCTGCGGATAGTGTATACTTTGTAATAGGTTTCTGGTGCCTTTTGTGTGGTTTTTGCGGTGTGCGTGAGCTTTTCTTTATTTCTAGGGTCATCTGTCCCTTCCTGGGGAGTCGCCACACGCACATTGACGGCTGCCGTTGCTCTATGCTGTGTCCCCTTGAGTCTTCTCACCTGTCTTCGGGTGGCTGCAAATCCGGATAAGTTTTTCCCTGCGCCGAACACTTCGGTTTCCCGGCAGAGCGTTCTCTGGGTAAGTAAGGCACCCTCAACCCTCTCCCAGGATGCGAGACTCTGCCTGTAGTCCTGCACCTCCCAGGCAAGAGAAAGGTGCACGCATTATGGGCAAATGTTTGAATTCTCATTAAGACGGAAGAATAAGCAATGAGCTGTCCTCCTGGGAGCAGAGAGATACGTTCACAGAAACATCTTGTGAAAGTCCAGGGCGATGCCTGTGCGCCCTGCGTTGCCAGATGTCTGGTCCCGAGGGCTCACTCGGGTTTGGTGTCAGGTTCCAGTGACTGGGTCTGTATCTTAAAGTCCTTCGTTTTCTCTGCCGGCTTATTTTCTTGGGGATAACGTTCTGCTGAAGCACTTCAATTCCGCAGGTTTTGTCTCATGGCCAGATGCTTAGAGAAGGTCAAAACCATCGTATTGGACTCGGCTCCCCTTGCAGGTACCCAGAGCAGGAGAATGGGCAACCACCCAACCGTCCTGGAGTCCACCCGAAAGTCACTCCTAAGGATGTTTATCCTAGACTGCATTTCACTTTCTAGTGCTCTGATTCATTGTTCAGACAAGGGAAAAGAGGCAAAATTGTTGAGTCTTTTCTTAAAATATCGGCTTTTTTTTTGTGCCATCCTGCCGCCCAATACAGCGTCCTTAAAACTGTATTAAAGACTACATGTAATTGTCTTAGTTGGCCAACAAGACTATAGATAAGATTACTTTGTGATCTAGCCATAGGTGGCCTTATATATCGGTCTGTAACTGAATGTGCTTCATTTTTGCTGGAGAGGCTTTTTGGCTCCACCCACCACATACACGCAAGGCACAACCTTTATCAAAAGAAAGTTGAGGTGCTCGCGGGTGACGTTGCCCAGTGGGACTGCAACCTGATTACTTTCAAATGTTGGGCAAAGTGGAGATAGAGAAAGGTTTGCCCTGCTCCACTAATACTCTGGGGCCGCTGAGCTCCAGGAAGTGGGTAGGGTATTCCATTTTGTGTTTTGAGCTGGAGGACGGGGAAGGACCCTAAGAGAGACATACATGAACCTCCAGAGAAGGAGAAAGGGACAAGATCTCCTGAGCAAATTGGGAGCACAGGGGGAGTGGGGAGGGAGGTAGGAGAAAAAGGAGGGGAGGGGGAGGAGAACACGAGGGAGCTGGAGGGGGCTTATCTTTCGTCTTTATTCCCCTTCGAAATGCAAAGTTCTTTGAAAAGCAGCTCAGAGCACATTCGTGGCTGTCACTGAAGAAGCTTGGTGCCAGGTAAGACGGGTTCTGCTCTCCCTTGCTCTCGGTCAGTTCAGCTTACCGTGTTTGCAGATGTTTGTGGGGTGCACCGGTGTGTCTGATGCTGAAATGCCGGCCATGCTGTTGTGCGTGCCACCAGTGGATTCATCTTTCTGAATTCCTCTTCCTGTCCTCCTTTATCCTACTTAATGAGGCGGATGAGCGATGGCGGAGATGAGGGTCACTGTGGTTGATCGTTTGAGGGAGTCACTGAGTAACCTTGGGGTCATCGATCATTTTAAGAGTGAAAGATGAGCCCATCTCAGGTAAAAATTCTCTCATTCAGCCTCATTTCCCAGCAGGATCAATTTAGAGTTCATTGGATAACAGTTCTAAACTCACTCTTTTCCCTGAACTTACATTCTACCATTGCTATTTTATATAGCTATTTTTACGTTTAACATCAGAAAGAAATGACAAGAGTGGATCATATTGTGTTATCACATTACTGTATTAATACAAAGGATCATAGGCTCAAATTTTGTTAACTTTTATCATTGCTCATAATGAAGGCTAAAGAGAAAATAACAAAACATTTGGTTACTTCATAGACTCAAAAATCCAGCAAAGGTGCTCAGGCTGTCAGTGCACAGATAGGCAGGACTCTTCTCAGACTATATGTGCTTGTAAAGGACCCAGACAGACCTTAGTGAAGTCCTGGGTGAGCATACATGACTTGTCCTTGATTTAAATTCAACAAGTCTATCTGGGCATTCACTGGCCATTCCAGGATGGCATGATGCAGAGCCAAAGTCTGCTGTCCTAAGCTCTGAGACAGAGAGAGACAGAGACAGAGACAGAGAGAGAGAGACAGAGACAGAGACAGAGAGAGAGACAGAGAAACAGACAGACAGAGACAGAGAGAGAAACAGAGAGAGACAGACAGAGAGACAGAGACAGAGAGACAGAGACAGAGAGACAGAGACTGGTCCCTAACATTCAAGAAACCGTATCCACATGAACAGCATCTTTGAAATGGTTACAACCCAGCCCAAAACAGCATGAGTATGGCAGAGCTCTGCTCTGCTACCAGGAACCGAGAATGCCATAATGCCATTGACAGATCCAAGTTCTCAACTGTTAACGTCTCAACTATTGTCTTACATGAAGATGTAAACCCAGTCCAGATGAGAATAAAGTATGCATTATGGACCTTATTGTTTTAAATTGATATTGTTGTAAGCAGTAGTGAAAGGCTCGGATAAACACCAGTCTATAATAATTACTAAAGAGGTCACTTGAAGAAGGCAAGAGACCGAACTCAGCTTCTGATGGGAAGCAAAAGAAGAGGTGGCTATAATGCCCAATTTTAACTTCAGAAAGACAGGGTAATGCCCCATGTAGACCACTAGCTGCTGTATTCACATTGTGAGATACCCTTCTGTTCACAAGTATACCCTTCCATTTCTTCCTTAGCTATCATCAATGGTTGACCAGATAAAATCTCAGGTTTGTTAGTCACTAATGGAAACCGTAACTGGTTGTGAGGATGGATGTGTAGATCTTATTCTGTATCTCAAAATTTAATTTTATTGCTACAAATAAATTCTTTATAAAACGTAGGGAGAGTTCATGCATATTCTGAGTATTTAGCATTCTCAATAACGATGATTTCATACAGGATCACTTATTCATTCAGCAAATATTCTTTTGCTTGTAAAAATAGAGTATGGGCTGTCTCTCCAAGAAGCTTCAAGTTTCTTTCTTATTTCATTCATTCATGCAACTGTCTAGAAAACAGTCATTGATCAGGTATGCTCGGTGGGTAGCAAGGTGAGTGAAATATTGGTCCTTTCACCTGGGGATTCACAGTCTGTCAAAACATACAGACAATGCAGATAGAAACTGTTATACTGAAGTGTATAAACACTTATGGGGAGAATGCAGAGCACAGCTTGAGAATACAGAGGAGGGAGCCAGAAATTTGCATGGAGAAAGTAGGTGGAGATTATGAGATTAAACATAAGTGCTAAGAAATTAACTGGGAAATTTTGAGCCGTTTGGTATGCTTGTAACATCATTCTTAGATATAATGGGGGGATTATATTGGAAAAGTAGCCTATGATTAGATAGTAAAGGACCTATAATATAGGACAAGTCATGTCTTTGTAAATGTCTTAGTCAAGATGGTGTATAAAACATGTGTACAAGAAAACAGCCTCTTCCAGACACAACAGGGTAGATGCACATGGACTCACAGACACTGTGACAGTGTGCCCAAGACCTGCACAAGCTCCAGACAGACAAAATCCCAGCACAGACACGGGAAGTGGGAACAAAGCCCTGCCCTTTGCCAGGAAGGATTTGCAAGTAATATCTGCTGGGAGAGGGGAGATAGGTTTTCTTCAAAGGAGTGACACTGGATATCTCAATCACACTCCAGGGCAGGCCCCAGGGCTGCAGACATTTGGTCAACACAAAACAAACTCCATGTTTTTAGTGGCCTGTTTTTATTTTGTTTTTAAAAGAGAAAGAACATGATGTGGGATGAGTTGTGGGGGCAGATCTGGGAGGAGTTTGGGGTTGGGAAAGAATATGATAAAAATATACTGTGTGAAATTATCAAAGAATAAATGTGAAAGGAAAATAAATATGCATCAATTGTATGCACATAATGATAGTTTATCCTTTCCCGTGTATATTACATAATTAAAGACTCTTTACTGAATTAATGTAGAAAAGTATATGTAACACAAAAAAATAAAAGACCCAGAGTCAGAATTTTGGGGTTTAATTGTCAAGCTGAAGATCAGAGAAGCAAAGCAGCCAGCCACTAGCTCTCTACCTCAGACTGAAAGGGGTGATCCTATCCCCACGAGCTCTGCTCCAAGCCTCAGACTGCAGCCTCTCCTCAATGTGACTAGAGGATAAATAAATCTCACTATACAGCCGGAGACACTGGGCTCCTCCTGTCTTTTATATACCTCTCTAGGGCTGGGATTAAAGGTGTGAGCTTTAATTCTCCTTTATGCTGATTCAACCCTGTATAGGCCAGGGTGGCCTTGAACTCAGAGAGATCCAGCTGCCTGTCTTCTGAATCCTGGGATTAAGGGTGTCTGCCACCACTGCCTAGCTCTATGGCTAACTAGTATGGCTGCTGGGATTAAAAGTGTGTATCACTGTTGTCTGACCTCTGTTGCTTATGGCTGGCTTTGCATCCTCAACCCTCAAGCAAGTTTTATTAAATCATAAATAATATATCACCACAAGTACTGCTTTTCTGAACCAAAACCAATAGCCTTCAACCTAATTTCTATGATGGCTTTTTTAACTTTAAGCTACTTTTAATATCATCATCGCCTGTCACCTATTCCCCTAGAAATGATTTGTTTCTGTTGATCACATTTAAGTTCAAGAGGGAATATATTCCTTTTTTTTTTGCTTTTTTATTACTTTAATTTTAAATAGCTTGCTTCACATGTCTATCCCAGTTCCCTCTCCCTCCCCTCCTCCCGCACCCCCTCACCATTCCCCCCCAGCCTCCCACCCTATGGCCACTTCCTTCCACATAGGGGATACCTAGAATCTGTCATTTCACTCAGGGTAGGGTCCAGGCACTCCCCTAAGAGTCCAGGCTGAGAGAGCATCCCTCCTTGTGTTATGGACACATGAATTCCATTTGTATGCCAGGGATAAACACTGATCTACTGCCCAGGGCCCCAGAGGTTGCCTAGGCCTCCTCACTGACTCTAACACTCAGGGAGTCTGGATCAGTCCCATGCTGGCCTCCCAGCTGTCGGTCTGGGGTCCAAGAGCTCCCCCCTTGCTCAGATCAGCTGTTTTGCCAGCCCATTCTTTGTCAATTTGCCCATCACTCCTCTCTCTCTGTCACTGGGTTCCATGGGTTCAGTTCAGTGTTTAACTGTGGGTGCTTGCCTCTGCTTCCATCAGTCACTGGATGAAGGCTCCAGGATGGTTATAGACATCAAGTTCATTATCAGGAATGGGCATTTAAGGTGGTCTCTCCACTATTGCCTAGCTTGCCAATTGGTGTCATCCCTTTAGATCACTAGAGGTCTCACTGGTGTCAGATCTCTCTTCTAATCTATGACTCCATCTATTATCGTATTTCTCATCCTGTTCTCCCCGTATTCTACCCCACACTCAACCTTCCTGTTCCCCCATGACCTACTCTCTCCTCCTCTTCTCCCCCTCTCTTCTTCCCAGCTCCCACTCCCCCCCACCCCTCGCTGTGTTCCCCATCTGTTCAGAAGATCTTGCCTCATTCCTCTTCTCTTAGGTACCATTCATATCTCTTAGGTTCTTTCCTGTTTCTCAGACTCTCTATCGGTGGAAGTGCAGATTGGCACTATCCTGATCCATGTCTAAAAAACATATATGAGTGAGTATATACCATCTTTCTCTTTTTGTGACTGGGTTACCTAACTCAGGATGGTTTCTTCTAGTGCCATCCATTTACCTGCGAATTTCAAGATTCCATTGTTTTTTTCTACTGAGTAGTACTCCATTGTGTAAAATTTCCACATTTCTCTATCCACTCTTCAGTTGAGGGGCATCTAGGTTGCTTCCAGGTTATAGCTATTATAAATAATGTTGCTATGAACAGAGTAGAACATATGTCCTTGTTATATGAATTTGCATCTTTTGGATATATTCCTAAGAGTGGAATTGCTGGGTCTTGTGGGAGATTGATTCCCATTTTCCTGAGGAATCTCCATACTGATTTCCAAAGTGGGTGTATGAGTTAGCACTTCCACCAGCAGTGGAGGAGTATTCCCCTCTCTCCACATCCTCTCCAGCATAAACTGTCTTCGGTGTTTTTGATTTTAGCCATTTTGACAGGAGTAAGATGGTATCTCAGAGTTGTTTTGATTTGCATTTCCCTGATGGCTAAAGATGTTGAGCACTTTCTCAAGTCTCTCAGCCATTTTAGACTCCCCTATTGAGAATTCCCTATTTAGTTCTGTACCCTACTTTTTAATTGGATCCTTTGATGTTTTGGAGACTTGCTTCTT